ATCTACCGAAGACTTTTAATACTAGTTTCGACAGTGCGGAACATGTGATTGCTCCATGGTGAAGTCTTAGTAACTAACTAATATGTTGTTAGATTTATAATATTTCATTGATTATTTTAATTTTTTCCAAAATTTTCAAATAATTTTAATAATTCATCAATAAATAACTGAAAATTAAATTTCATGATGAAAATGTAAATAATACGCAAAAGATTTTTTCATTTGACATAATATTGCATGAAAAACAATAATAATATCAATTTCATATTGTATTTAAAAAATAAAAAAAAATTTTACTTTTTGTAAATTTTAAACCAGATATAAAACGGTAGCCGATTGGTTCTACAACAGTAATATTTTTTTTTTTAAAGTTTCTTAAAAATGTTGAGTAATTCGAAAAATATATGAAATTCATATATTTTTACTTAATTGATAAAAAAATTAATTTTATAAATAAAAAATTCTAAAATATCAATTTCTCAATTAAAAAATATTTTGTGAAAAAATTGAACAGTACAAAATTAAATAAAGAGTTTTTAGAGCAACTTCAAAAATTTTTTTTTTAATTTATACATTTTATCTTTTTTATAATTTATACCGTAAATCTGCCATAAAATATATTAATTAAAAAAACTTAAAAATGTAAATTTGCTGATTCTTAGACTTAAAAAACCTAGTGACTGTATAACAAAATTATCACTCAGATTTGGCTTTATTTGATACTATTAAGTCAGATCCGGCTTGATAAAATTGTATCAGAACATATCAAAAAATTAGAAAACGGGCATATCAAATTATATCAAGCCATATCAGAATATATCAATAAATTATCTATAGATATATCAAATTATATCAAACCAGATCAAGCCATATCAAGCCTGCATGATCAAGCTTTATCAGGCCTGATATGGCCAATTTCCATATCAGGTCATATGAGGTTATATCAGGACCTATCAAAAATTATACATGGACATATCAGATCATATCAGGCCTGATATGATTATATCAAAAATTTTGATATGGCCATATCAGGACATATCAAGTCTGATCAGAATATTTTTTCACGGGTTAAGAAGTTTATCTAGCCCTAGTTTTCCGTTTAATCAATTACAAAATTCATTTCCGTTCGATACATTTTAATTGATACTCACATTTCTAGAAGAAATAAAAAATAAAAAAATTATAAGTACAAAAGATTGTACTTTTTATTCTAAAATACATCCCGATGTAGCCATATTAAAAATATCAGGCTACATCAGAAAATTTATTAATTAAAGTTAATGACTTAGAAACCATATGAGAACTCATAAATGATAATTGATTAGTATCTAGGTTTTCTCAACATACCTTTGCATCTATATGCTTCCCAACGAGAAGACGCACTTGTTATTATTTATTAAAAAGGTTATTTAATATGAATTTCCTTAACTTAATGGACAATTTGTAATTTAATCTTGGAATTTCGCGTGATACCCGGCCGTCGACCCTATCGTCTTGTTAATGTCACCCGCAGTGCAGAAGCTTGAATTAAATATATACACACCAAAGATATGCCGATCAAGAGCAGGATATACCGATGAATGCATACCAGTACACACATAAGACCCGTACCAGTAAACGTCCAATGTATCTTCAACTCACCATTTTAATACATTTATTTAAAAATAACATTTTTAAAATTTTACTTAATCTTTAGCATGAATTCGCGTAACGATAAACGAGCATGCGTACATATACCAACTCATAGCATTTCTCACGCGTCTAATTACCTGCCAGCGTGTGGTGAACTCGATTATTGCTACTCGGTGTGTCTCTTTAAGCGTGTCGATTGCATGAACACACCTTGGATACACACGACGATCATTGATTTTATTCAATTATTTTTTTTTTTCCGCTATTACGAGTCATATACATCTTTCAGACAAATATAAATATAAATACTGATA